GTACAAGAAAAATTATGCAAGCCCAATCACTGTACATAACATGTACAGGCGGAATTTTACAAGCCGAATTTTGAACCCCGCAGAGACCGAAGCATCCGTTGGTACGGGGTCTACTGGGAGCGTATTTAGGGTCTTCCAACGGCCAATCCTAGTGCCAGGCACGTGGATGGGCGTGGCCGTGGACAAACAGCAGCCAATAGCAGAGAGGGAGATGACTAGGAGAGGGCTCCTGGCGGCTGAGGTAACCAGAGCTGCCGCGGCTAGGGGAGAGAGGAGACGTGTGCTGTTCGTCTGCTCTGTAACGGGCCCTTCAGCCGCCATCACACTTCGGTACTCACCTGCCGTTCAACGCCATGGAAAGGTCGCAGGATGAGTATCAGCGGATACTACGACGCCACGAACGCGAAAAGAAAGAGCTGCAGGCCCGCATCGTGATCATGAAGAATGAAGTCCCTAAGAGCGATAAGAGGAAGAGAAAGCAGTTGCTCCTTGAAGTGGCTCGCCTCGAGGCCGAATTAGAGCAGAAGCAACAGCAAGAGCTGGAGAAGTTCCAGGAGCTGTTTCCTGATAACAGCGCCCTCAGCTCTGTCACTGAAGATCTGGCCAAGATGGATCTGGAGAACCAGCCTCCTCGCATCCTGAAGGCCCAGAAACGGCGCGAAAGAAGGGTGGCGCTCGAGAGGGAGCGCCAGGAGAGGGTCGCCGAGGCTCAGATGGAGCACCTGGCCGGCTATCGCCGCGACGAGGAGGAGCGGCTGGCCACCATCTTGTCGGCCAGGAATCTGGAGCTGAAGGACATCCCGAGCGACGGCCACTGCATGTACCGGGCCATCCAAGACCAGCTGGCGTTCTCCGTGACCGTGGAGAGCCTGCGGAGCCGCACCGCCGACTACATGCGGAAGCACGTCGACGACTTTCTGCCCTTCTTCAGCGACCCCGAGACCGGCGATGCCTACACCCGCGACGACTTCCTGCGCTACTGTGACGACATCGTGGGCAACGCGACATGGGGAGGCCAGATTGAGCTGAGAGCCCTGTCGCACGTCCTGCAGACGCCCATCGAGGTGATCCAGGCCGACGCGCCCGTCTTCATCGTCGGGGAAGAGTACACCAAGAAGCCGGTCATCCTGGTCTACATGCACTTCGCCTGCCATCTCGGAGAGCACTACAACTCGGTCAAGCCGCTCGAAGCCGGAGCCGTCGGGGGCGCCGCCCCGCGACTCTTCTAGGCTGCCGTGGTCGCCCTCCCGTCGCCGATTCCGCCGCTGCCGCTGATTTTGCCATTTCTGTTGCCGCTGTCGCTGCCGTTACCATTTCGGTCACCGCTGCCGCTGCCCCTGTCCCTGCTGTTGCCGTTTCTGTCGCCGATGCCGTTGCCGATGCCACTGCTGTTCCTGCCGCCGCTGCCGTTGCCGTCACCGATGCCGCTGCCACTGCTGTTCCTGTCGCCGATGCCGTTGTCCCTGCCGTTCCTGTCGCCGCTGCCGTTGCCACCGATGCTGTCGTCGCCACCGCCGCTGCCACTTCGTTGCTGCTGGAGCCGAAGCCGCCGCTGCATCTCCCCAGTAGGCTTTGCCTTTTCTTTTGGTTTTCTCGGGTGTTTCTTTCTTCGTTGTACTCCAAATTCAGCCCCGCCCCGCTTTCGCACCTCCCCGCCGGCCTCCTTTCTTGGTTCTCTGCTTCCTTCGCCCGGCCGGGCGCAGGGACGTGGTTGGTACAGGGCACTGTCTGTATTGCCCTGTGCCAACTCACTTTAAGTGAGTCAGTTTGATCAGTTCCAACCACTTCTTGCCCTTAAGGGTCTCTGCCTCCCTCGCCCATGAGAATTGGTCATGTTACAAATAATTTGGAGATCAAAATGGAAGCTTGGTTAGTTGTATTAACTTGGGAAATGTCCGTTTAGCTTGGAATCTTCGGATTGTCCCATAAATACATTGGATTACTTAGATAAAGTTGGCTTTTACGTGCTCGAAATGCTTTGTGAATACCTTTCGCTTAGTTTTTTGAAAAATAAAGTAGCGTGGGCCGTTTGTGGTCACCTTTGACTTAAGTTTGCCTAACCAAGAAACGTATCCAGTTATGAACAAGAGCTCCTCCAGTATTTTGCTTTGTTTTTCCCTAAAAATATGTGTGGTTTCAAATTATTTTACCTATTTTGATATTTGCTAGATTCTAAATAATAGTGTTTGTTAAATTTAGAAGCTAGATGTAAGTGCTAAGTATAGGTTTATATATAAATATACGCTGATAGGATACGTAAGGTTTATTTTAAGATGTGAAAGATCTCAACTTAATTTTCTTTATTAAAGATAGTAAAGGGTATGACTTTACTCAAGTTGTTGATTCATTTCGTTATAACTACAGCTGGTATGAAGCAAAGAGACAAACTGATAGGAAGCCTAATTTGCTGTAAGGGGTGAGATCTGAACTAGTAAGTTTCCTTTATTTTCACAGACAAAAAAGGGTAGGACTTTATTCAAGTAGTTGATCCACTTTGTTATATCTACAATTTGTATGAAGTGTGAAAAATGTAAATTTGGTAATTTTCCTTAATTCTTAGAGATAGTAAAATACTTTTAAAAGATCTTAAACTGTGTTAAAGTATTTGACCCATTTTGTTATATCTACAATTGACATGAGACAAAAAAGTGAGCAAATATACAAGTCTGTATATTTCAGACTTGTTGTTTTGAATTTGCCAAAAGAATAGTAAAAGCGAAATGATTTACAGTAAACAATTTAAATTTGTTTTAATCTTCATATCTTGTATTTCACTGAAGTTACTTAAATTCCTTTTAAAAAATTCCTTGCACACTTCAAATGTTCTAAAATAAAACACATACATTTAAATTTCTTTTTACATGCGACTTGTTTACAAAATAAAAGCAGTTTAAAAAATACCTGGGTCTCTATTTTTGTGTGGTTGACTTAGTTCATATAGAGTTTGTATCACAGGATTTACTTTGACAAAGAAATCCTGGGGGGTTATGGAGCAGGAGTTGGGAGGGGACAGATGAGGCTTTTGGGAGGAGGAATGGGCCTACCATCTTGGTGGTGGCCTGGAGTGGAGTGTTTCCCAGGGAACATTTAGGAAGGAGCTTTATCTTGAGGCTGTCCCGAGTTGATGCTTCACTCTGAAAAAAATATAATGAAATGATTTCATTTAAGGATGTTCTAATTGCTATGCATGAAAAAGAACTCCTACTTCCAAACTCTGTAGTCCAAGGCTACACCTCAGGAGTAAAGAAATGTCACTGGTTTATTTTTGGAGGGGACGGGGTGTTCCCAAAATACAAAAAGGGAAATCCTGTGTAAATGTGTGAATTCGGTAAGTTTCAGATAGCCAGCTGGCTGAAAAGAGGAGGTCCCTGAGAAAACCAGGTATTTGGGTACGAGAAGAGACCTTTTACTGGAGATGAGAACACTGAATGGGGAAAGAATAGGCCAGAAAGGGAAGCATAGTCCATAGAAGTGTGCCTGGCTGGGAAGAAGAGTGGAAATTGAGGAAAGGGTCAGCCTAGGAGGATGAATGGGACATGGCAGGGGAAAGGGGAAGGGGCCAAGGTGAGGAGAGGGCACAGGCTAAGGATACTGGCTGGGAATGTGGCTCAGCTGGTGGTTATAGGGGAAGCCTGCCTAGCCAGGGAAGGGAACCGGCCTGGGAAGCTGGCCTTGGCTGGGGAAAGGAGCTCAGCTGGGGTGAAAGACATAAATAGATGAAGAGAGCCTGCCTAAGTGAGGGGGCCTGGCTGAGAGAGGGCGTGGCTGGGATCTGCAGTACAGGCAAGTTAAGGGAAAAGGGGGCCTGATTCTTAGCCAGTATAGCTTGAGGAACAAGGTTAGGGAAGTGGACATGGGTAAGGAAGGGGGAAGAGGCTGGTGACAAGGACCAGGGACCTGGCTGGTATAGGGTATAAACTGGTATAGGCTGAAAAAAGGATTCCTGGCTGTTTAAGGGTGAGGGCTAGGGATTAGCACCTGGCTCAGGAAGGAGGCTGGCTAGGGATAGGATTCAGGGGGGCTATCTGCATATAAAGGGGGGTGCTGGATGGCGATAGGGCAGTTGCAGGGGAAGGGTGCACTCACCAAGAAAGAGGGCGTGGGCCCTGCCTGAAGAATAGAGCACTGCGTGGATAAAATGGGACTTGCTGGGAGTCGGCGGAGTGGCTGGTGCTACCCAAGAAATTCTTTGGCAGAAGGTACCAAACAAAGACAGCAGAGTCCCATTTTACAGGCTTGTCCTTGAATACAAGAGAAATAACTGTTCTGGCCTTGAGAATCCTTAAGACCTCACTGGTCCTGTCCCAGCTGCCTCTACTGGGCCTGCTTTCAGCTGCAGGGAGAGAAAAGAGTTAACCCAGGCCAGTTCTGACCCAAGAGGGGCCTTCAGTGGGATCTGGCAGGACCTGAGGGGTTTGCGTCTGTTCCATCTTGTACCAGTGACCACAGGTACAGGGGACAGTGACAGTTCTGGGCAATTTCATGTGAAAAGCTATGAGGCACTTTTCCCAAAAGGATCCAATTCCAGAAGCAACTTTCTTTCATTCACTTACTCTTTTTCATTTACTCATCGTGAGTAAATGGCTGCCATAGCAGCCAAAAATAAGGTACATCTATCTGGGTCTGAAGCCGGCTCATCCACCCACTTTCTAGTTTGTCGCCTAATCTTTCTGGGCCTCAGCTTCCTCATTAATAACGTGGACAATTAATACCTGTCTTTGAAGTATATCTTAGGATGTTAGGTGCATTAACTGAAAATATATATATAAATTGCCCAATAAATTTTGGCTACTGTTAGTTTCATTATCTAGGAGTTCAAAATCATAACATTATCAGCTGTGGCAGCAACCATCCCTTGATTGTATCTATAGTGACTTTTGGATCCACTTGGCCTTTCCTACAGGTTCTGCGGTGGAAGCAGAACCTCTCCCAGGGCTATATGTCCAGGCTCTTGCCATAGCTTCCTGGGCTGCAGTATGAAAGCAGAAGCCACCGGCGCTCACCCAAAGTGCCCTCCTGGGACAGGGTGGCCTCCAAGCAGGGACTTCTCAAGCCCATCACTATCTTCCTTCCCAACTTTTTCTACACAAGCACATGTTTTAAAAAACAAAACTGATATCATTCTACTCAAGCTATTTTTTAACTTAACAATTCATGATAAGCATTTCCTTGTGTCCTTAACAGTCTTCAATAGTTATTTTAATGCCTGCATTCTAGCCTGTGAATGTGCCATAATATATTTATCCTATTCTATTATTTGACATTTAGATTGCTTTTAATTTCTCACTACTATAAATATGCCACTGTAATATCCTTATAGTTTAATCTTTGTATTTCTGATTATTTCCTTTAGCTACAATTTCTAGAAGTGATGTAGGTCAAAAGGAGAGGCTTTTAATGCATACTGATATATTGCCCTCCAGAAAGATTGCCCAGTTTACACTCTCAGGGTCTGAGAGTGTTATTTTCCCATATACTTGCCAACACTGAAAATTACCATCTTTACTAATTTGTTAGATGAAAAATGTTGTATTAGTTGACCCTTTGTAGATTACTAGCGAAGTGGAATATTCTTGTTTATTAGCATGTCTATTTCATTCAAGCAGAAACAAATAATTCTTCATTTATTGCCTGTTCCTAAACTTTCCTTAATTTTCTATGGTTAAGTTTGTCTTTTTCTTATGGATTTTTAATAGGTCTTTCCACTTGTCATTTAGATATTTTAAAAATTAGTTTTTCCCATACAGTATTAGCCTTTCAGTTGTTTGACTTTTTGCATATGCTGAAGTTTAAAACTGTAATAGGATCTCTCTATTAATCTTTTCTTTACGGTTTCTGCCTTGTTATCATGCTTTGAAAGTGTTTTCCCAACTCAAAGTTGGATCGATATTGGTGTATATTTTCAGGTTTCTTATGCTTTCTCTTTAAAATTGACTATATTTAACATATCCACCTGAAAGTTACTTGGATGTAAGATAAGGACATAAATTTATTTTTGCAATTATGGGAATTAACCAGTTAGTCGAACACCATTTATTGAATAATCCAGGGATCTATACTACAGATATAGAACACTCCACATTGTGTTTAAGGGAGTTCATTATAACATTGCCAAAGCAAAAATCTAGATACAACCTAAATATCCTTAGTAAGGGCTAACTGAATAAATTTTGGATCATCCATATGAATTGTTTCCTCCAGGGAGAGGGGTAGAAATGAGTGGGCAAACGGAGGAAGATGGTGAGCTTTTACTTTTAAACTATATACTTCTATATAGTTGATTTTTTTTTTATTGTGGATACATATATAGCTCAGAAAATTTACTATTTTAACTATTTTTAGTATACGGTTCAGTGGCATTACGTACATTCACATTGCTGTGCAACCATCAGCACCACCCATCTCCAGAAATTTCTTATCCTCCCAAACTGAAACTCCATATCCATTAAACAATAACCCAATGCTCCCTTCCGCCAGTCCCCAGCAACCACCATTCTACTTTCTACCTATCTATTTGACTACTCTGGGCGCCTCATATAAGTGATATCATACAATATCTGTCCTT